TGTTTTCAAAACCAGCGCTAGGCTAATGCTGCCGCTAGCGCCCAACGCCATGTTGTTTTAATACCTTCATACCTAGCATGCTTGCGTGAGTTCAATCCCGTGACTGTGTGTGGGTTAACGTTTACTGGGGGAAATGCTCCTTTGGACTGGTTTTCTATTTTAGCTACAAAAGCCGACACTGTTAAAGGGTTAAAATCGGTCTTTGGACATACTAATTGATCTTTTTATAAAAGTTATTTATTTTTAACTCCACATTAGTGTACAATGTAGTTCCCAAATAAATTAATTCACCGCCTACATTGCAAAGTGTAAGTTCATATTTCTTTTATAGGCGTGAGTTTATTGCCTGCTGGGTTTTGTAGTTTTACCTCTGACATGTGACTTAGCATCACAGCCGATCACAGCCAAAAAGGCTCTCTCTTTTCTGAACATGCGAAGCTCCTTTCTGGAGGAGCTGTGGGCGGAGGAAGTTGAATTTGGATGTCAAGTATTCTGTGTGAAGGCAGAACCTTCTTGTTAAGTTTGGACGCCCCATCATCTCTCCTTACCACAGCAGTGCAGCAACATCTGGTCCACAGCTGAAAACCATTAAGGTCCACAGGAACTTCCTCTCCTCGGTTCCACCAGTAAGTAGCTTTTGTCTCTGTTCTGTTATTGTTTGTGTGTTTTTTCCTTTCGGTTAGAGATACCGGTGCGTTCCTGCTGATAAAGTAAGTCATGGGCGCGCATTTGATCCATCAGCATCTGGATTTCAGGTCAGAAAGCTCCATTACTCACCCAGACGAGGATTTCAGAACAACTTCATGAGCAGATTGAAGTGATGTTTGATGGTTTTTGTTGCCAGCAGACTTACTGGAGAAAAGCAAAAAAAACAAAAAACAAAAACAAAGGATCTTTGTGGATTTTGCTCTCTGCTGATAACCCACCACACGCCTCAGTTCTGATCAAAGTTACTCCCCTTTCTGATGCATCTGTGCGAGATTATCGACAAGCTGAGAGGCATTTAGGAATAAAGGTTTCAAGCTTTCTTTTAGCACTTCTATAAACGTGGTTCTGAGTTTGCTTTTAGATGTTTGAGCTTGACAGAGCTGGGTGAAAGTTGGCTAGTATAAATCCAGACAGATTCTTTTTCCACCCCAAATTCCAGATGTTTGAGTCACGGCAAACACTGGATGCACATTTCATATGTCAGTAAGAGAACTGCTTTGTCTGCGTTTTATTTTTTATTTTTTGTGGATCTCATTCTTTGGTTCTGGTCAGATGTTAGAGAGTGTGGCCATTTGTGAATCTTTGTGAAGCTGAACTTGAGTGTTGCAGGAGTGACGATTTCAGTAAGTCTGTTCTCCGGCTGCAGCAGGGAGACTCAGGATGTTTGCAGCTCTGTGTTAACTGTGTGTGTGTGTGTGTGTGTGTGTGTGTGTGTGTGTGTGTGTGTGTGTGTGTGTGTGTGTGTGTGTGTGTGTGTGTGTACGCACACACCTTAGGGGTCAGTCATTCTCCCACAGGGATTCTGTTGAATCACCAGACAGGAAGCCATTAAAACAAGGCCAAGGGTGCAGCTGCCAATCAGAAAGAGTGATATAACAGTCAAGTGTCGAATGGAGCATCCAAGTCTGCCACAAACAAACAGAACCGTGACCCGGTTCCGTCACTGTCAGACGTTTCTGACCTGCTTGCGAGAATCTTAAAGCTCTCAGTGGGGATTTTTGGAGGATTTTGTCCGTTTGAGACTCTCTTTTTTTTCCAGTTTTAAATTCTTTATTTGCCGTTGAACGTTTGGACTTAAACGCAGACCCATTGTGTGTGTGTGTGTGTGTGTGTGTACTTTTTATATATTTTAATTTTTAAACTTTATTTTTGCTCCATGTTAAAGGCAAACAAAATAAAGATGCTGCGATTTATGTTCTTGATGAAAAACAGCTGTTAGTTTCCTCCCCCACCCCTCCTTGCTCTGTTGTTCCCTTTGATTAGAACAAAAACAGAAACCATTAAAGAGATAGAGATGAAAAGAAATTTGCATCTAGACTAGAAAACGCTGTTTATCTAAAATCCTGAGGTACCACAGCTGCAGGCTCATCATTTGATGTAGGGATCTGCAGGACTCGTGGCCTCCCAGCTCTTTGACAGAAGAATGCAACTTGTCTCTTTCTGCAGAGAACCTTGGCAGAAGGAGGAATGTAGGAAGTCTCCACCCGAAATCTTATTTCACCTCAAATTTCTTCAGCTGCTTCCAGAATTGCTATTAAAGACCTTCTCTGGCTCATCGTGCTCGTGGCTGAGGGGTTCTCGTTGATGTCAGCTCTCACCAGGAGCAGTAATGAATCATGGGAGCTTTATAACAGCATTATTCCTATTTAGTTCTGCTCTTTTGCATTTTGGTCTTTCTCATCACTTTTAACTCGTTTTGTGAATTCATTGATGCTTATTTGAGTAGATGAAGATTTTCTAAGATATGTATCAGTCAAAGCTAGCTAAGATCTGCCATCCAAGAGGAGCTCAGTCTAACTCCACCTCTTCATCAAGAGGAGTCACCTGAGCTGTTGAAGATATGTCCTGGGACTGGGTGGAGAATCCCGGTTGATGAAAAATAACACAAATTTTTGCCTCAAGAAAAAGAAAAACAAGAGTTTTAATCTTGTAATAAATGGTCTTCGATACCTTTCTAGGGTGCTACACCCCCCACATAATAAGCACAAATAAGCCACAGCTTATTTAGGGTGCACTCAGACAACCAGCAGCAGGCAAGGTGAGTGAAGCTTCTCTGGTATCGGGGCATGCACCATCTTCTTCCCAGAACTAGACTTTACTGTTGCACTTTTTTATTGTGTAAAACATGTTGACGTTTCAGAGCGAGTGAGATTTGTTTTTCCATCCACTAAATAAGTCCTAATCACTCACCTTTCTCCTGACAAATGGAAAAGACCCAACATGGAAAGATTAAATTAAATTTTCTGCAGAACCTGCTGCGTTAGACGGCTGTTATGATGCTAACCGTTCCTGTTTATAAATTTTTTTTGCAGTCATAAGAATATTGATTGTAGGTCTCGCTGACAGCGACCGGTCTGGTACAGTTTGTCCTTGCCGTTCTGCAAACTGCCGAACAAACGGTGGGGAACCGATGCAAAGCAGAGTGGAGTCACAGTCAGAGACTCTGCAGGTGGATGCTTTTCATTTGCAAAAGAAACCATTCTGTGTTTGAGTGATATTCAACATGTTGCTAAAGTAGATTTCATAAAAATGTCGCTCTTTAGTCCAGAAAAGGTTACTTTTAGTGGTGGGATTGTGTGAAATAATGAAGCAGAAGTGTTATGGTTAATTTGAGTTTTTCTGAATGTTTCAGGCTGAAGCTGAAAGCTTTCTTTTTTGTCTTAAAAGGATTGGGAGAAAAATGTCTTTTACTGTACAGCATAGCTTGAATCCCTGGTATTGAACTCAAGCCTCTATGTGCACAATTAGACAATAAACTGATTTTATAACACTTCACTTCTTCCATTTCTCCTTTAGGAGTGGGATGTTAGAAGGTTGCAACGTTGTTAAAGTTCAACAGGAAAAAATCTAATATATTAAATGAATAAATCTTACCATGAAACAACAAATGATATGAACTTAGAGAAACTAAGCACTTTTCGCTTGCTTTTACCACCCTCTAGTGTCCGTTTTAACTCGTAAAACCAAAAGTGAAACTTATCTTCTCCCTGTGCATTTGTCTTTTTAACACGTTAATCTAACTGCTGGAACGTCTCCTCAGACTTCATTAGTTTCTAAAGGAGTGGTTTGTGAGTAAATCAAACAAATCAGCTGTGTTCACGATCTAAAACATGCAGGAAATGTGCAGAGTCCAGGAGCAGAGTGGCCTGCCAACTCTAAAGTTGCAAGTGCAATATTCTGGCCACAGTGGGCAGTGGGGCTGACTGACATTTCATTAACCTTGTAAAGAGTCGTTTTAGCAGACTGGCTCAGTAAACGATAAAAAGCTTGTATTTTTATTGTGTCTTCTTAGGGTTCTACAACCCCCCCAAGGCGCTTCAAAACACAATCAGTCATTCACCCACGTACACATACATTCACACCCTGTTGATGATGAGCTATAATGTAGCCACAGTTGCCTCGAGGGGCCCTGACAGAGCCGAGGCCTGCTGAACTGGCACCATCAGTTCCTTCGACCACCACCAGCAGGCAAGGTGGGTTAGGTGTCTTGCCCAATGAAACAACAGCAGCTGGTTGGAGCCAGGATTTAACCTGCAACCTCCCGATTACTGGGCAACCTGCTCTACCTCCTGAGCTACTGCTGTCCCTAAAATTATTTAAAAATATGAAAAAGTTGCATAGAATGCCTTTAACATTTAATGGTAAATGGCCTGTATTTGATATAGTGCCTTCTAGAGACCTGGAAGCCCCCAAGGCGCTTTACAACACAATCAGTCATTCACACACACCCTGGTGGTGATGAGCTACATTGTAGCCGCAGCTTAATGTTGAGGCTTCATAATCTGCATGAAAATCAATAAATCAAAAATTTTCCAGGTTTTAGTAGACTTGCTTTTATGTGCCAGTGAAGCCAACACCAAGTCATTATTCGAGTTTTTGTGTTTTCTAGCAGTTCCGTTCAATCACTGTCAGATAAATCGTCGTCTTCCTCTGCTTATCCGGGTGCGGGTCGCAGGGGCAGCATCCCAACTAGGGAGCTCCAGACCGTCCTCTCCCTGGCCACCTCCACCAGCTCCTCCGGCAGGACCCCAAGGCGTTCCCGGACCAGATTGGAGATGTAACCTCTCCAACGTGTCCTGGGTCGACCCGGGGACCTCCTGCCGGCAGGACATGCCTGAAACACCTCCCCAGGGAGGCGTCCAGGAAGCATCCTGACCAGATGCCCAAACCACCCCAACTGACTCCTCTCGATCCACTAGTCCGAGTCCCTCCCGAATGTCCGAGCTCCTCACCCTATCTCTAAGGCTTTGTTCGGCCACCCTATGGAGGAAACTCATTTCGGCTGCTTGTATCCGCGATCTCGTTCTTTTGGTCATTACCCAAAGCTCATGACCATAGGTGAGGATTGGGACGTAGATCGACCGGTAAATCGAGAGCCTGGCTGTCTGGCTCAGCTCCCTCTTCACCATGACAAATCGGCTCCGCGTCCGCATCACTGCAGACACTGAACCAATCCGCCTGTTGATCTCTCGATCCCTCCTACCCTCACTCATGAACAAGACCCGGAGATACTTAAACTCTTCCACTTGAGGTAGGACCTCTCTCCCGACCCGTAGTTGGGAAGCCACCCTTTTCCGGTCAAGAACCATGGTCTCAGATTTGGAGGTGCTGATCCTCATCCCAGCCGCTTCACACTCGGCCACAAACCTACCCAGCAAGAGCTGAAGGTCAGAGCTGGATGAAGCTAGGAGGACCACCTCATCCGCAAAAAAGCAGAGACGAGATTCTCCTGCCACCAAACTCGACACACTCCACACCACGGCTGCGCCTTGAAATTCTGTCCATAAAGGTAATGAACAGAACCGGTGACAAAGGGCAGCCCTGGTGGAGTCCAACCCTCACTGGGAACAGGTCAGACTTAGTACCGGCTATCTGAGATTCAACTATTGATCGGACCCTCCTCTCCAGTACCTTGGAGTAGACCTTTCCAGGGAGGCTGAGGAGTGTGATCCCCCTATAGTTGGAACACACCCTCAGGTCAACCTTCTTAAAAATGGGAACCACCACCGTGGTCTGCCACTCCACAGGAACTGCCCCCGATGGCCATGCAGTGTTGCAGAGATGTGTCAACCACGACAGCCCTACAACATCCATAGCCTTGAGATACCCAGGATGAATCTCATCCGCCGCTGTGTAGTTGTTTGACTACCTCAGCAACTTCTGCCCCCGAGATTGGACAGTCCATCCCCAGGTCTCCCGGCTCTGGTTCCTCCTCGGAATGCATGTAGGTGGGATTGAGGAGCTCCTCAAAGTATTCCTTCCACCGTCCAACTATAGCCCCAGTTGATGTCAGCAGCTCCCCATCCTCACTGTAAACAGTGTGAGCGAGTTGCTGCCTTCCTCTCCTGAGGCGCCGGACAGTTTGCCAGAACCTCTTTGGAGCGATCGATAGTCTTTCTCCATGGCCTCACCAAACTCCTCCCACGCCTGAGATTTTGCCTCGGCAACTGCCACCAACTACCCCTGACTGCATTCCGGAGATCGGGGCGGGGCTAAATGTGGGCGGGGTCAAACGTTTAGAGGTGGGCGGAGACAACTATTTGACTCCTGCGTCCTGCCCCACTCTCAATGGAACCAGGAAACCGCTATGCTATATGTGTGTGTGCAATGCTGTGACAGGTGTCGGGACAGAGGGAAGTAGCTGCCAAAATGGAGGTAAGCTAGGATTTTTCTTTCTCTGTTTTAACAATATCGAGGACCAATGTTGGGCGAACGTTTTATAAACTTGGAAATTAAAGGTTTTTTTCCCATTATGAGTTTTAGATGATACATATAGCCTATTTTACACATGCTTACTTTTGAGGAGAAATGTTTACAGGGTTCCCACGGAGTCTTAATGAATTTATGAATTTGAAAGTAATACCTTTAAAAGACTGGCGAAACCCTTCAATTTTGGCATCTGGGTCTTAAAATTTGTGTTGGATGTAAGTTTTCTGTACTGCATTTTTCTTCTGAAGTTCATCAAAATATTCCAAACAAGTGATGACACCAAGAGAAGCACTATTTTTAGACATTTATTTCAATTTTGTGTCTTTACTGTTTGCACTGTTGCTTTTATACAATAGAAATACTGCAAGAAATTAGGGTAATAAAATTAGCAATAATAAAAAAAATGTCTTAAAATTAAACTAAAATATAGGCAACAAAAATTATTAAGGTTCTAATGTCAAACCAGATCGGTTATATTTTTAACCATTTGTTTAAAAATATAACCGATCTTCTACCAAGTGCCCACCCAGTGTTTTGTCAAAATATATTGGTAAAGTTGTATAGATAAATAAATGAAATTAGTTCAATAATTTTATTTTATTTGTTTACTTTTTTGCTGATAGTGCCGTGAAATAGGTATTAATTTTCCATATGGCTTTAGAAAGATCTTAAACAGACTTAAATTTAAGTTGAAGAAACCTGTAGGAACACTTTTATAGCTTTGGGGAGATATGTTGTGTAGTCATGATTACTTTTTGGTGGAAAATATATTTTACAGGGGGGAAATATGTTAGTTTTTTAAGCTTTTTATGTTCGTATCTGAGTTCTACACCTGATGGGCTTTATTATTATGGTTAGAGTGCTAATCTGATGTGTGTAATTATATAAACGTTTTGCTCAGTCAAGTGGCAACAGAATAACATGAATGTTTTCATAGTGAATGAATGTTGTCATTGTATCACCAAGGTCTGAGGAAGACAGAGTGCAGGCACGAAAAAGACGGAGAGAGGAAAGAGTAAAACAGGTGAGAGACAATTTGATTATTTCTTGTAGTTCAACTGTTGCTTGCAGACTAAAGCATAATTCCTTCACTTATTTCAGGGCCTGGAAGTGGTCCCTCCTAAGAAGTCCTGCCATACTGAATTAGTCTGTGCAGCATCAGGTATTGTTCAAACAAGTATTATTGTACACAACCCCCTAGGTTGTCGAAATGGGATGTGGGAAGATTCAAGATTCAACCTTTTGTCATATGCACAGCTAGAAAAACACGCTTTCTGCACAATGAAATTGTTACTTTGCCAAGATTAGAAAATTAAGACCGTTCCAGACAGATCACTTTTTTTTTCAAAGCAAGTTTTTCAGTCATTTCTCTATTTTCATTAAACCAGAATACTAAGCAACTGATCTTTTTTTACAACTTGCATCGTTAATATGCTTTTTATGAACCACAATCTTTTTCCTTTCTAGCAGAGGCTGAGAACTTGCTGGAACTGGACTTTTCTTGTGTCATTGTTTCTTCTCCAACCTTTATTTTAATTAGAGGTGTCAAATAATTCCATTACTTGCATTTAATTTTTTACAGCCATGATTAACGTGTTATATATTTTAATTATGTTTATCATTTTTAATCTACTGCTTCTTTATGGGACTTTTAAATAAACCAATTTCTTTTCTTGTTCTTGAAGGGTTGATGTAAACTCATAAGTTGAAGGGTTGACGTTACAGTGCCAAGACCGGTGAGAGATTAGCTGCAGCAGTGTTTATTTCAGCGACCTTGTTATCTTTACTCCGTTTTTTTCACCCTTCTTGCAACTTTTTCCAAAGTTATTGTTACCATTTGGATGTAATGGGTGTGTCGCTGAGTATCAAGGCTGCTGACAGCTTCTCTCCTGTATCAGACGCACCTCCGTGCTGCAGATTGGAAAGACCACAGCATCAGCTGTTTGGCTAGCTGTTAGCATTGAAAATAAGGCTTATATTATGTACAGTTATTAGATTAAATTGAAAGATTAGATTACTTTCAGATCATACACAATTAATGTAAAATATGTTTTTAATCTCTTGACAGCAGTAATTTTAATATTGTCTTTATTTTTGATTAGGAGAAGTCTCTGCTTGAGGACACCTTTGAGGCAGCAAGGTGGTGTACCACAAGGTCCTTCAAAGGAAGCCTTTCCCTTCCCCAGGTCATCACCATGGACAGGGAAGCTTGCCGGAGGGCAGTGGAGAGGTTATGCTTCTGTGATGGCCTAGATGAAGAGGAGATGAACGATTGCAGGGAACCGTTCCTGTTCATGTTTAGTTTTCAGTCAGACTATGAGGAGTTCTGCAGAGAAATTGAGCAAAAAAGGAAGATGAAGGTGCTTTCTGGTTTTGAAATGCCATAGTACAGCGGTGTCACAGTTTTTGCATTCTTTTTCCTCCTCACATTGTTTTTTTGGAGGTTCTCTTGTTTTTTGTGTGCTTTTTGGTTCATTTGTTTGTACTTTTTTTTATTCCTGTGTTGGCTGTTGTTTGCTCTATTAAATTTACCTTTTTTGAAAAATTTAGTCTGCATTCTTGGGTGTCTCACACAATGTCTCACCACCCCGCCTCATACCCTGGCATGTTTTAAGAAGTATCAACACAATTTAAGTCTCTGTTCCTCTTAATGTAGCTGATATAACGGAGTGTACAACAAATTTACCCGTGTCTGTCTATACTGTTTTACACTCACTTGGGAAATGACTATTAAAATAAAGGCAGCATTGATAAAATCAACTATTAAAATGGTTTTGACAGGTTCAAAGAATAGTCTTATAAATGCTTGAACCTTTTATAGAGGTACCAAAAGTATAGCTAAAAGACACAAATACCTATGTGCTATAAATACACATACCATACAAAAGTAGAAAAAAGAATAAAAATATCAGAACAGATTGGATCAAAAATGGCGCCTGTAATTATCTGCTCTTTAAAATTATCATGACATCCAGCAAATAAGTCATTTGATTATCAATGTTATGCTTTACATGGGTTTTGTGGGTTTTTAGGGCTTTCTAATCCTTAGAAAGGGGCTACTCGCAGTTTCCTGGTTCCATTGAGAGAGGGGCAGGAGTCAAATAGTTGTCTCCACCCACCTCTAAACGTTTAACCCCGCCCACATTTAGCCCCGCCCCGATCTCCGGGATGCAGCCAGGGGCTACTCACTGCCACAGCTGGACCCCGCTTGGCTATCCAGTACCTGTCTGCTGCCTCCGGAAACCCACAGACCAGCCACGCACTGTAGGCCTCCTTCTTCAGCCTGACAGCTCCCCGAACCTCTGGTGTCCACCAGCGGGTACGGGGGTTGCCACCACGACTGGCACCAGCCACCTTGCGACCACAGCTAGCAACAGCCGCCTCAACAATCGCAGAGTGGAACAAGGCCCACTCGGAGTCAATGTACCCCACTGCTCTCGGGACGCGGTCAAAGCTCTGCCGGAGGTGGGAGTTGAAGACCGTCTTGACAGGTTCTTCTGCCAGGCGTTTCCAGCAGACCCTCACTATGCATTTGGGTCTGCCAGGTCTACGCGGCATCTTCCCCTGCCATCTGATTCAACTCACCACCAAGTGTACTGATGGGCATCCTTATGTTCGAACATGGTGTTCGTTATGGCCAAACTGCGGCTTGCAAAGAAGTCCAATAACGAAACACCACATGAGTTCAGATCAGGCGGGCCCTTCCTCCCAGTTACACCCCTCCAGGTCATGCTGTCATTGCACATGTTTGCATTGAAGTCACCCAGCAGGACAATGGTGTCCCCTGATGGAGCACCATCTAGCACTCGTCCCAGGGACTCCAAAAAAAGGTGGGTACTTTGTACTATATTTGGCCCATTAGCACAAACAACAGTCAGAACCTGTTCCCCGACCCGAAGGCGCAGGGAAGCTACCCTCTCGTCCCCGGGGTTAACCCCAACACACAGGCAGAGAGTCTTGGGGCAAACAAAAAGCCAACGCCAGCCCTCCGCCTCTAACCTGGAGCAACTCCAGTAAAGGAGAGTGTCCAACCTCTCTCAAGGACTTGGATTCCAGAGCCAATGCTATGTGTCGAGGTGAGTCTGACTATATCTAGCCGGTACCGTTCAACCTCTGCCACAATCTCCTGCTCCTTCCCTGCCAGCATTGGTGACGTTCCATGTCCCAAAAACCAGTTTCCTTGTCCGGGTATTGGACCGCCAAGGCTCCCGCCTTGGTCTGCCACCCGATCCACACTGCACCGGACCCTTCATGTTCCTCCTGTGGGTGGTGGGTCCACAGTTGGATGAGCCCATGTATCCGGTTCGGACTGGGCCAGGCCGGGCTCCATGGTCGAAACCCCGGCCACCAGGCGCTCGCTCACGGGCCCCAACCCCAGGCCTGTCTCCAGGGTGGGACCCCCGTAACCCTCCGGGCCGGGTACTCCGACTCTGATTGTACATCCATGAAAGATCCTCTGAACCGTTCTTTGTCTCACCCTTCACCTAAGACCAATTTGTCATGGGAGACCCTACCAGGGGCACAAAGTGCCCCAGACCACATAGCTCCTAGGATCATTAGGGCACTCAAACTCCTCCACCACGATAAGGTGACGGTTCAAGGAGGGGATATCTTAAATCAAAAGTTGTTTGGATGAGCAGTACTTCTGCTGTAAACTTTAGCCGTGCAATCTTTAGCCGTGTAAACTTTAGCAGTGTAAACTTTAGCCGTGTAATCTTTAGCCGTGCAATGTTTAGCTGTGTAAACTTTAGCCGTGTAATTTTTAGCCGTGTAAACTTTAGCTGTGTAATTTTTAGCCATGTAAACTTTAGCTGTGTAAGTGTGTAACTGCTGGGCGTTTGCAGTAAACCTCTCATCAGCTCATCTCAGACCTATGAATGTTTTTTTTTTATAATTGAAAGTTTTATAGTTTCACTTTAAAACAGTTTTGTTTTACTGGCCTTAAAATGTCCAGGTACTGATTTGAGGGAGTTGTATTTTTTGTTCTCCTTAGTGTTGCAGAGAATGTTCATGATGACACAGAACATTGACTAAGATTCTCCCAAAATGTGTCTTTTTCAATCTATTCATAGAATAGTTTTTAATTATTAATTTCACCCAAAACTCTCTTGTTTGTGAACGAACACAAAAAATGATGTTCTTAAAAATGTCTGCAGTAACGCTGACGGCGCCTGATGAGTCTTTGGTAAATAAACACAAATAAAGACCTGGTCTAAGGTTTACCTTTCCTTCAGTCAGCCTTACTTCATCCTCACCAGGTGAAAGGTTTACTCTGTTTCTCTGGGTCTGTTTTCAGTGAAGGTTTGAAGTTGAAACAGATTTTGTTTCCTCCTGCTGCTTTTTCAGGTGGAGGATTGGCAGATTGTCGAGACGGACCTGAGCGACCCACATTTTCCACTATGAACCGCGCCTTCAACAGGAAAAAAGGTACAAACACCTCTGTGATGTAGATTCTGGAAAACCAGGGTGTTTTTAGCTTCACCGTTTGCTGTTCCTGGTATTCCCAAACATCCGTAGTATGTGCTGACACCGAAGTGTCAAGGTTTATTTTAAACATTCCTCTGATTTGTCGGTTCAGTTTTATGTGTAGATCTAGAACAAATGTTTTAGTGATTCCCTCTAATGAAACTGTTCAGACTTAGCCTTCTGTGCGTTTGCATGAACGTTAAATGGGTTGTGAAAGAGTTGTAAGGTGACTCGGTCCAAATGCAGAGGGACGTTTTTACCGAAGCTCGTAAAACAGCTTGATGTGTTTACCTCCATCTGCTCCATTTATTTGGTGTGAATCTGCAGACCCGAAGCTGAGGAAAATGTCCAACGCCCAGGTGGTGCCACGCACTTCAATGGTATTTGGCCCTAATTCATGTTCTCCCACTAGCTTTTCTATTTCAGGAGCAAATTATGTTAATCTGGAAGGACGGACATTTGTCCATCACCTCATATTAAACCTGCATTTTAGATGGAAATGTGGCTCCATTAATTTCATTCCTCTGCTCTTTAAAGGATGTGTACACCAGAAGATATTTGGAAAAAAGAAATGTAATGAAGGCTGTTGTTGAAAGCAATCGCAGCTACATGGAAAACAAAAGGCAGGTCGGCACTCTGAATGTTTACGGAGAGCCATAAATGCTCCAACCATTCCCCATCCATCCAAAAAGAAAAGATTTACCAGATTCTCCAGGTGTTCAGGAATTCCTTTAGACCTTCGATCCCTTTGACTTCTAACACCCTTTTTGTTTCTGAAACTCTTGTTAAAGTCAAGTGGAGGTGAAATGAGCCAAAAGTCCACAAACATGTTTTCATTCCTTCTTGGGACTAAAAGGAAAAGCTTTCTTATCCGGGAAAAGATGAATCATAAATTTAACCAGAGACAGCTGTGTGTCCAGAGTCAACACTGTCATTTCCCGCTCGTTTGTTCGCCACATGTTGATTTCCCACAAACCAAACTCGGAAAAAAGATGAACTGGTTTGCATTTTTAAAGCAGAAACCTGATTCTTATGGTAACGATTGGATTAAATTTACAATGTGTAGTTTTACCATTAATCTCTGGAAAAGTTAATCAAAATGTTGTTGAAAATTAATTCAATTATATCCAGTTGTTGAAAAATATTGGCAGCTTCGTAACATATAACCATAAGAATCGGGTCTAAAATGAATGAGAGCGGGTCTAAAGGTGATTCTCAATGGAAAGGCGCCTGGCCTCACAAGGCAATGACCTGCAAGGCCAGGCACCTTGCTTACAAGGACACTGTCCTTCATTGGTCAAATGAAAGTGTTCAATGCAACAGACTTGCATCACGTGATGCGTGAAGTAACAGTATATTTTACATCTTTCAATATAAATATATAACAAGCCTTTTACTTTTTAAATTGTGTATATATTGGTTAAATTAAATGTGTAAGCGAGTTACTACCTGCTAGCCACTGAAGCTGCAACTACTCAGCAACTAGCCAACCATAGGTAACATATTTGGATATCAGCCCGATAGCTACAATTAGTTGACTTACATTTAAACTTGAAATTTGCCCCCAAAATAGCTGCTGTCTTTTGATCTGCCTTCTTTTTGAAACCACTGCGCTGTATTCAGGGAGGCTACAAGGCACCTCCCGTGTGTCTTTGCTCAGCTAGCTAAACGGCTAACAAACGCCTTGGTAGAACATGAACATTGGAACACATCTTGGCAGTTTTCTGATGACATATCTCCTAGGCAACTGGGGCGGGACCAAGACATCAAGGTGAGGTTCCTTGGTATTGAGAAACACCATAAGTCTCTGGGTGATGCCATATTACGCGCCATGTTTCCTTCTACGGGAGCCCGTGAGGACAACATGTTTACTGATTTGTAACAAATGGTTACAAAACTTTCACCGTTCATAAACGTTGTTTCACACTTTTACATCTTCACTTGTAGCCAGTGATGAAAGGGAGTCTGATGTGTTCCAAGGGATTTTTGACCCTAATGGCCGTCCTTCTGCAAACAGTCAACGTCGCATGGGTGTCATGTCTACATTGAGTCCGTCAGTCCAGAGTTGGTTCCACTCCTATAGAACGTCCTTACTAGGTCTTTGGACAGTGGGCCGTTAGTAAGGTTTTACTCAAACACAAAAATACCGTAAATCTAATACAGGCCCGGGCCTGTATTTGACTCAAGCTCATCAAGCTCCAGGCCTTTATTGGAAGGAGGACCAGAATTAGAGGCAGGCCTCTATTTCTATTTGAGCAAAATGAACTAATTGTTTGCTGGAGTTTTTGACAAATAAAATTACGCCCACATTTTCAAAGTTAAACAAATTTCTTTTAACAACGGTAGTTTCTGCTTCAGCCCTCTCCCCCCTCCCCCTGCGCAGTGGCCGCAAACTCACTGATGGGCCTGCAGCCTCTCGGAGTTCCTGCTGCTCTAAACATTAAAATAATTATTTCATTTTCTGTTCCTCACTTGTGATTACCTTCAATGGTGTCTGTTTGTTGCAACCACCAGGTACAAAAACTAACTTGTTTTTATTTGACTATTTTTATGTCCTGCCTGTTTATTATCTTTCTGCATCTCCTCTCAATCCTAAAGAAAAACTGCTACCTGGGTTCAAATATATTCACCTTATGAGTTACCTTTGAACTGCAGTTCTAAAAGATCTACCGACCGCAAAAACAGCAGAGTGCTCGCTGCTTGGCGGCCGCATCAGTGATCGGTGCGTCACCGAGGACAAAACAGGTGATGCGCCCCGATCCACAGCAGCGAAACGCATCAGGCGCAAATAAAAGACAGAAAACATTAAAGGAAATGAACCGACATGAACGATCGCGTGTCAGTACCGACGCTCTGCCCCCCCTGCTGACAGCAGGCTGCTGTGTTTTCTGAGGACTGCATCTTGCCGGTCATTATCACGTGACAGCGACTAGTTGATGACGGGCATAAAAAGTCACTATAGTGAATTCGACTAGTTCATACAACCCCTATTGCTCCCCAGTGTTCTCCAGCATAATCAGCAGGTTCTCTTTGAACTTGATATCAAATTTTCGCCTCCTCTTCGTCTCCGCACGGTTAAAGTTACCCTTGTGGTCTATCACTGGCAAATCAAAAGTGAGACGGATGACACAACCGCCCCCCGTACTTGCCTGTTACCACATTCCACCCGGCCACAATAATATACCGGCCATTATTCACCTCCGCCGACTTCAACACTGGCCAAAATATGATACCCGGCCGTTAATTGAATACAGGCCAATATTAGAGGATTTACGGTACTGCTTGCTTGCAGTGATTTAGATATGTACTGCCCTCTATCACCAGGCAAAATACACAGTCACTTTAAAAACTTTTGACACATAAAAGAATATTTTCTCTAAGATTAAAGACAAATCCATGATGTTTTTATTACCCAGGTCTCATATTTCTTTTGTCACCCCTGAATTTAATATGAAATGATTCTCATTAGAATTAGAAACAGTAGTTTTGTCCTTGGCAGTCATCAGACATAATCGATCTGAGACTGTCCTCCTGTTGCATAGTTGGCTTTATTGAATTAACGGTGCTTTAAAACTCATCCAGTGACCAATATGATCATTTTAAATCTCAATTTGCAGCCAAAACCAAAAGTATTTGAGAAAGAGCTAGAGTTTTGTCAGACATTTCATCTTTCTGCAGGTCATCAAATAATATTTTGTCTTAAACAAAAAAGCAACATGAATAAATCCCATTATACTTTAGCTTTGTGTCTATTTTAAACCTCTATTTTCATAATTTTGTGTGCAGATTCTTGTTAAATTTGTGGGGAAATACACCCACCATAGAATAACAAAATTATGATTATTTGAAGTTAAATTGGTTCATTCACTTACAGCTCCAATGATAAAATGTGTTTAGTCACCATTAAAATTAAAATAAGCATAATTTATGAAGACTCCTGCTGGATCCTCTGCCTTTAGTGATGTTTATTTCACAAATGTTCTGTAGAACGATTGCATAAGCAGTTGGGAATGGTTTATATTACGATTAAAGCAGAAATCATCAGGTTTATTTTTAATTTCACGGTGTGTTTGTTGTGTTTGATAGCTTTGGGAGGAGGATCATGAGATAGCAGTAAACAGTTTGCTTCTGATTCAGATCCTGCTGAAGTCGTTTCTATAAACTACAGAAGGGGAATTCCTAAATCCGTGTAGTGACTTTTCTGCATCAGAGGAGTGAGTTTATTTCAGGAATTTGCACAAAGCATTTATTCAGCCGAAGCTAACAGCAATCCAGTAATAATAATAAACCAGGTTCTGTTTTTTTCTTTGACAATCCCGCATGAATGTACGCTGCTCAAACAAATAAAAACAACATGATATAACTCCAAGTCAGTCACACTTGTGTGACATCAAACTGTCCGCTTAGGAAGGCTGACGTGCTTTTGTGTAAACGGAAAAGACAACAGGGGGAAATTATAGACATTTAGCAAGACGTCCCCAATAAAGGAGTGGTTCCGCAGGCGGTGACCACGTCCCAGTTCCTGTTTTCTGGCTGATGTTTTGGTCACGTTTGAATGCTGGCAGTGCTTTCACTCTAATGCGAGCATGAGACGGAGTCTACAAACCACACAAAGGCTCAGGTAGAGCAGCTCATCCAGGATGGCACATCAACACAAGCTGTGTGTGTCAGCGTAGTGTCCAGAGCATGGAGGCACTACCAGCGTTCCTCCAGGAATGGGAAAAGCCCCGCCAGAGCCCTGCTAAATGACCTCCAGGAGGCCACAGATGTGCATGTGTCTGTTTAAATGGTCAGAAACAGACTCCATGAGGGTGGTATGAGGGCCCGACGTACACTGGTGTGGGTTGCGATTACAGCCCATCATCGTGCAGGATGTTTGGCATTTGCCAGAGGACACCAAGATTGGCAAACTGGCCCTGTGCTCTCCACAGATGAAAGCAGGTTCACGCTGAGCTCATATGACAGGCGTGACAGTCTGTAGAAGCTGTGGAGGACATTCTGCTGCCTGCAACATCCTCCAGCATGACTGGTTTGGCATTGGGTTAGTGATGGTGGGGGGTGGCATTTCTTTGGGGGGCTGCATGTGCTCACCAGAGGTAGCCTGACTGCCATGAAGTACCTAGATGAGATCTTCTTCCCTCTTTGTGAGACCATGTGCTGGTGCAGTTGGCCCTGGGTTCCTCCTAATGCTAGACAATGCTGGACCTCATCTGGCTGGAGTGTGTCAGCAGTAAGACGAAGGCATTGATGTTATAGACCCCCAAACCTGAATCCAGTTGAGCTCCTCTGGGACATCATGTCTCGCTCCATCCACTAACGCGACGTTGCACCACAGACTGTCCAGAAGGTAGCAGGTGCGTTATTCCAGGTATGAGAGGAGGTCCCTCAGGAGACTTAATTTATCAGATTTGAGTTTTGATGTCTTCCCCAGAAAATAAATCCTTATTAAATGCCCTCTGATTGATGAGCTTTATTCTCCTGTTTAAATTTTATTTCTTTGTTTTATTATATTATTAAATCAAAAGATTCGACTTAATATATTGTATAAAGAAACCAGATGCTGTTGTCTTGTAAATACACAAATGATTTTAATAATAGACCAAGTATGATTTTGTTGTATATTGAAAGCTTAAGAACAAAAGGATTCGGTGTGGTCGTGGACAGAACCACTCAGAACCGCCAGTCCAACCTCCCGTTTGGATCAGAACAATCTAAAATATCCACCAGCCCGCCTGCCAAGTAGCTGTCAGCCGTCAACGCTTCCTCCCGTCTCTCCTCTTTAACTCGTCTGGAGAGTGAGCATCCTGGACTCCCGTGCCGGAGAGAAAGAAGGAGACGTCATTTTTCCATCCCAGCATCGTGCTGAGGATGCAGCTATCTGCTGCAGAGGTTGTTTCACCATGACCCCACTCCAGAAGCTGGATCCAAACAATCAATAATCCTTTCTGCTCCGATGTGAAGGATCTATTAAATCCTGGTTGAATGACAGGTCAGAGGTGATGTCTGAAGGCTAAACAGGGACATAGCTTAGTGACGTTTTCTGTCATTTTTGCAGATTTCCACCTTAAACTCGTCCCATTCGGCGGTATGAGTTCTAGTTAGATGATTTCTATCCACCCAACAGCATGATGTAAACAAAGTCATGAGGAGGAAACCTGAATCCGACACCCTACGAGTCTAGACCTACACCAGCCCCAAGGTCACATTCATGCATATTTTACCAGGAGATTCATCAAGGTGGTAATAAGTCATTTATGAGCAGGAAATTAAGAGTGAAAGAAGTGCCGGACTAATGAGAGGATTAGGATCAGACCCCCGGCCACCTGGAGTGACCTCTGACCTGTTGCTCACTTTCTGGTGGAGGATCCTGTAGAACAGAGACGATTGTGTGTGAGAAATAGTGATAAACGTGTTGTCGACCGTTTCCTAAGCAGCCTCTTTGTGGAGAAAACGTATTACAAGCCGTACTTTCACCAAGCAGTTAGGTTTACTTTTGTAATGTTTCAAAGTGTAATTGTTCTGAAGAGACTTTCCATTTTTGGTTCTTTTTTAAAACACAGGAAAGGTTTCTCTTTACCTTGCTGACAGTTTCGTTTGCCGACTGCAAACATCCTCAGAGCTGACGCTGATGGTGGCGTCACTTCCTACTCCGTTTATCCGCGGGCAGCAGAGGACGTTGTCGCCCTCTGCTGCCCGCTCTCCCCTCTCCAATGATGCAGTCCCATGCGCGGTCCAATGTTTAGAACCCATCGTCTCTGTTCTTGGTCCCACATCCACGTCTCCTTATCTCTATAGCTTCCTTTATCCATCTTTTGTGTTTCTGTTGTTTGGTGCTTGTGATGACAAAGATGTCTTGTCAGGTTCAGAGCAGGAGGAGTAGGACCCAATATGCAGAGCACCAGACGACATGAGGCAGGAGTCATTGAAAAGAGGTAGAATCCTTTATTTTGGGAGTTTATAAAAAAAAAAAAAAACGATGGACAGGAAGTCAAGCCAGGTATCCAGAAAACACGAACAAGTTCAGGAGTCATTAAACGAGCCGGAGTCTCAGGTTTTACACTGGAGAACAAAACACGCTGACAACAATGGACCGACACACCCTGAGGGACAAGACGGGGCTTTTAAACGGAGAGGGAGGCAATCAGGGGAACAGGTGACAGGTGTGAGGAGTGAAATCTAGAGGGAAGACAGGTGGCATCAATAAACTAAATGGGTGAAAGAACTAAGCAGGAGGGAAGATAAACATAACCTATAAAGCACCGAATAACTAAACCTAAGGACTAAGGGCAAATATAGACAACTAATAACTAGAGGGATGAGGAGGACTAATACAAAATAAAATAGGAACTACCAGGGAGTGACTAGGAGGAAACATGAGGGAAGCCTAGAGAGGGCTGGGGAACACTGAGACACAGGAGGAGAACCTGGAGTGAGAACAGGAGGGTGCTGGGGACCAGAGGGACACAGAACATGACATGTCTGAAGAGACTTTGTTTTTTAGGGGTTTTCTTTTGCTTTTCACTCCATTTCTGTTCAACCATCATGGCATGTTTTGTTGGTAAATCTGAGGAAGAACTAAAGAATGGTGCTCGAAAAACACAAATCAGGTGTAAAAACCCTATTTCCTGCATGAATGAATCCATATCTGATGATAAGGTCTAAAGTCTCATTATGTCACTCGCTCATCCCTTCAGTTAAGAAACCCTTCAGTGTCTGGTTATCCATGAGTCGGGATCAAAATTGAAGGACTGAAATGGTGAAAATGCACTGATGGTGTTTTTATTTTTTTATTTTGACCTTTTCCAGACAAGTCGTGGATGCACACCCCGGAGGCCCTAGCCAAGCACTACATCGCCTACAATGCCAAGGTACCAGTCACCTTCACACTGATGCACTCAGATCAGTTTGCAGTAGCGGACCTCGAGTGTGCTGGTGCTGTTCATTCATTCATTCCTGAGACTACAAGGCCCATGGTGCAGCAGGGATTTATCCTGAAACTGACTCGTTTAGTTTGGATTGGTCTAAATTAGGTAAAAACAAACAAATATTTTAAAAGTCAGTAAGTTGAACCCTCTATTCCACCTATTACCCTATCAGGCTCATTTATTCTGTTTAGTTTGACTAAAGGCACTCAGATCTGACATCAAACTCCAAAAACACTCTAAACCTGCTTTAGCTGCGACCCTGTATGAGGACGCTTTCTGATCGGATCGTCGGCTCCCATGATCGACTTTTCCATCTGCTGAGATTCGAGGAATCTCATGGCTGTTTTCAGGCTTTGTGTGCAGCTAATTTTTGAGATTCTCTTGGCTCGTGCCGTTTGAAGCTTCAAACTGATGTGAAAATAACCACAGAGTTGCATCATTAAGCCAATGATGCGAGATTAGCAGTAGCAATGTTAGCAGCAATGGAGGCTGCATGCTAGGTCATATGAAATACTCCTATTTGGAGTTTGGCTCAGATCTAATAAAAGAAACGCTTATGCTGGTGCTTTTTGTCTCTCTTCATCGTTGTAGTCTTGGGTGTCTGTCGACTTTTAGTGATGACTGCTTTTTGTTGATAGCGTGTCCTACAGAGAGATGTCCTCACAGGAAGCTGTCCTTTGGGCTTCAGGCTCAGTCTGGGTGATGACAACATCTCTTTGTTTTCTAGCTCATAAAGTTTTTTCAAATCTATCGGAGACAAAGTTCCAGATATTTGTCAGCAGTCCTGAGTCGACGTGAAATTTCCGATGACTGGATGTAAAACTGTAAAAGCTGTTTCACAAGAGCAAAAATTTAAAGCATAGAAAGATTGTTTTAAATGATTAAACAAAATTAAAATGAGAAAAAAATTGTGATTAAAAAATGTGAGGAAATGGAGAGAGAAAATGATTAAGAGAGAGGGAAATCAGTGGATCCCGGGAACGGCGGAGTTGGTAGAAAGAGCAGAATGAGGAGAGGGTGGTGATGAAGGTCACACCCAAGCCAACCTGAACAGGTGAGTTTTCAGCTGCTTCTTAAAGGAGACCACTGAGTCCACTGATCTGAGGCTTAGGAGGAGAGAGTTCCAGAGTCTGGGGGCCACAGCAGCAGATGATCTGTCACCTTTGACCTTTAGCCTGGTGCTGCACAACCAGTGGACTTTGGCCACTGGACCTCAGGGACCTGCTGGGGGTGTAGGGACTAAGAAGATCACCAATGTAAGATGGTGCTTGTCCATGTAAGGCCCTATAGACCAGAAAAACCTGCAGTTAAAGGCCACCCAGGACTTCCGAGGGGCCTCAAATGGCCCACAGACCACACTTTGGACATCCTTGGTTAATTGGTACCATGAGCTGAATGCCACGCCTCTGTAGAAGCTGGTGTTTGAGTGTCAATTATTGAAGTCAAATAAAGTTTGAAGCATTTTATTTTAAATTGGACTCATTAAAGAAGCGGAACCGAGCCCGCTAGCTCGGTCCGTTCTCAGGGTGATCTCCGCTCGTCCTTCTGTCATCTCAGTGAACTTTTCAGGCCTGACACAAGGGTGTGTGTGTGTGTGAGTGTGTGTGAGTGTGTGTGTGTGTGTGTGTGTGTGTGTGTGTGTGTGAGAGAGAGAGAGAGAGAGAGAGAGAGAGAGAGAGAGAGAGAGAGAGAGAGAGAGAGAGAGAGAGAGGAGAGAGAGAGAGAGAGAGAGAGAGAGAGAGAGAGAGAGAGAGAGAGAGAGAGAGAGAGAGAGAGAGAGAGAGAGAGAGAGAGAGAGAGAGAGAGAGAGAGAGAGAGAGAGAGAGAGAGAGAGAGAGAGAGAGAGAGAGAGATGAGAGAGAGAGAGAGAGAGAGAGAGAGAGAGGTGGGGGTTGTTCTCTCCTGCATGCATCGGTTGATGGATGAGCTTCCGTGGTAGATTTGCCTCCTGAAATGTCCCCAGTCACCGGCCCACAATGCACCTCTCAGGAACACGTGCTGCTCGTTTTTCTATTTCGGGCAGACATGGCCACGAGAGTGTGGAGAGTTCATTTGTCACCCCGGTGCAGAGCGCTGACACTTTGCATGTGAAGCCTCTGTCTGTTTTCCTACTCTTTAGCAGTTTTGTGTCGTTTATTTCTGTCTTTCTTCTAAAAACTGTAAAATTGTGTTTGTGTAAAAACTACAAGAGACACTAAAACACCACTGTGGACGTGTAAAGTCCATCTCGCTGGAATTCATTTAAACGGAGGTTTCTACTGCAAAGTCTACCTGAACTACAGAGCTACAAAGGGGCGGGGCTTTCCCACCTGTTTTAACGAAGTCCCGTTGATGTTCTCCTGCAGTTGCACCGCTTTTAAACCCAAATCACATCATTCCTGATGGAAATGAAGTTTGAAGTAGTGATTTTATTTTCTTACTCACTGCTGTTGATTCAGATTGTTTTTATAACCCAAATTTTTATGAATGAATGAATGAATAAAATGCACCAAATGTGCCAGGATGTTTCTCTACAGATTTCCCTGCATCATATAGAAAATTTCTGCCTATCTGATCTCCACTATGACTTAATTTTATTTTTTTCAATCTTCAGGGGTTTGACACAACTGTTGACACACGTGTGTGTGTGTGTGTGTGTGTGTGTGTGTGTGTGTGTGTGTGTGTGTGTGTGTGTGTGTGTGTGTGTGTGTGTGTGTGTGTGTGTGTGTGTGTGTGTGTGTGTGTGTGTGTGTGTGTGTGAATGGATGAGCTGAGAGAAATGAAATAGCTCCATCTGCTGGAGAATTAAGTGTAAAAATGAAATTTACTCTCCTCTTTTTCATTTCCTGCTTTACTGACTTCCAGTTTATCTGTTTCGTGTCTTCCTGCAGTTCCTTGGAAACACGGAAGTCGAAGCTCCGAAAGGCACAGAAGTTGTGAAGGATGCGGTCAGAAAGCTGAAGGTAAAATCAGGAGAGAGCAGATTGGATGAGAGACTCAGCGCAGGGCTGGTGGGCGTGACAGATACCCTCCTCACCCCTCCTCACCCCGTCCTCCCCTCCCTCGTCCAGTCCAACAAGGTGCCCTTGGAGTTTTCCGGGCTGCGGACGCCTCAGAGTGCTGGATAAGCAGTTTGCTCACTCAGCCTGATGGAAGATTCAGTAATCAGCAACATAATTATCTGTTGGCTGAAAGACTCAAGCTGTCATATATCTCTCTGAAGTTGTTGTCGTTATGTTTAATGGAAATTTAGTGATGATTACGGTTTTCTTACCTCCTCATCTGTCTTGTGTAAAATAAAGTCCACTGTGAAATCTGCCCAGCAACAGAAAACGACACAAATAATAGACTTTCTGCTGGAAGCTGAATATTACCAATAGTACATAGATGCAAACTAATCTGGACCAACCCCAGTATGCATCAGGGAACGTACTGTGTGTGTTTACTATCTTCTAAAAGGATTCATAGGATGTGCAACATTTTTATGGTCTTCCTGTGATTGCCTACATCTGATTGGTTGAAATTAAAGACGCCTGCAGCAACGCCTCCTTTTGGTGCATTCATCTAACAGGAAGTGTTGGTGGAGTAAGACTCTAGTGGGGGGATGAGTTGCGTTGACGACATCATCAGCAGCTGACTAGTGTGCGTATGGCACAGCACTGATTAACATGCTAGCTGAGGGCTAAAAACATCCTGCGTCTTCTGTTGGTGTCGTGATCCGAGGTTTTAATTTGGGTAAAGGCAGGAAAACGCGTTTTCATGACCACGACTTTTAAGTGAGATCGTTTTCTGACGTCCACACGGTGTAACGAGGTTTAGGAACCAGAACCTAATCACCTCCGGTTTAAAACATTTACCTCAGTTCTAACTGTGTCCCACTGCATTTAACAGTTTAACTCTTTTGTTCAGTGATGTTTAGATAAAGTTCTTTACATGTTTTACTTATGAGTTGTTTGGGGGATGTGTCAGCGGTTATTTCCTGTGGGTGTGGCCAACCATTGACCACACCCACCCATGTCAGATGATTAAAACAAGCTAAAACAGATAAAATAAGTTAATATGCATCGCAACTAAAACAAAGGTTTGAAATAAACAACAAAAGCAACATTTATTCTTCTGGGAAGTTATCAGACGTGGACCTTTTTGACTGAGATTTTAAAACTCGCCGTTGTTTAAAAAAAAGAAGAAAGAATTCATCTGCAGAACTTCTCATCTTCGTCAGGCAGCTTGTGGCTTGTTTAAAAACTAAATATCCTGCAGAAGTGGAGCTGAAAAGGCCTTAAAGAGAGCTGAAACCCAAACAAACCCAGTTCTAGTGAGCTCACCTGGTGGGTGACCTTTAACCCGAGCTTCTTCTCTGCTATTAAAGCCGCGCTGCAGCTCCTCTGCTGGCCTCGTGCTCCCGTCTCCTCCTGCGAGGAGCTGAGTGTGAGGCCTCCTGTGGGAAGGAGCTTGTTTCTTTCCAAACCGCTGCCTCTTTTGTTGCATCTGATCCCGGTCCATTCCTGACCCGGCCTCCATGGCGACGCTCCAAGATACACGGGGAATAAAGCTCCATTATATTTCCTAACATCACAACCATTATCTCCTCTTTCCTTTCAGCCTGTCTGAGGTTTTTTTTCTTCCACAGTTTCAGCGACACATAAAGAAGTCAGAGGGTCAGAAGACCCCAAAGGTGGAGCTTCAGATTTCCATTTACGGAGTGAAGATTCTGGATCCCAAGTCTAAAGTAAGTTTGTTGTTTGGACCAAACTTTTCTCAGCTTGTCTTGTAAATAATAAACGATGTGTTTTGTTGCTGCAGGATGTGCAGCATAACTGTCAGTTACACCGGATCTCCTTCTGTGCAGACGACAAAACCGACAAGCGGATTTTCACCTTCATCTGCAAAGACTCCGAGTCCAACAAGCACCTGTGCTATGTGTTCGACAGCGAAAAATGTGTACGTTTCCCTTCGGACTGAAGTGTTGTGCACTGTTTATTATTTTCTGAAAGGTGTGTTTGTTTCCAGGCGGAGGAGATCACCCTAACCATCGGTCAGGCCTTCGACTTGGCCTACAAAAAGTTCCTGGAGTCGGGAGGTAAAGATGTGGAGACGAGGAAGCAGATCGGAGGCCTGCAGAAGCGGGTGAGCCCAGCTGATCGATGCGCAGCTCAATCCTATTGATTCCTTCATTCATTAACATAAACAATCAGGGATGAATATTAATGAAAGAGCTGCAGCTGGAATTAGAAATAACTAAATGACAGCAGCTGTTAGCTGAACATCAGATGCAAAAATTAATAAATAAATAAATAATCAATCCATGCATACATAATGAAAACAATTTAGATTATTTTTACCCCTAAAGCCACCTCAAAACCTGAAAATACAAACCAGATTAAATCGGCTGCGGCTCTTGAACCTTTTAGGATTCTAGCAAAGACTTCTCTGTAAAAGTTATTCACTGAATTTTTTACGTTGGTTAGTAAATTATTAATGAAAGAACACAAAAATCCACAATTTTAATCCCCTCATCTGGATTTTTAATTTTTTCATTTTATTATGTTGCTGCATTTGGAGATTTGGCGGTATGGGCTGGAAAATCTATCAGGCTGTAGAATAAAGTTTTTACTATTTCTAGTTCACATTTGATAAAGACGGCGCAATAAAACGCCCGGACATCCTAGCAATAAAGCAGAAATCTGGAGTTTTTCTCAAAGGGCACCACCTAGAGGTGACAACATGTATTGCTCTTTAAGCCCCGCTCCCTAACGACTGGAAGCAACAGCTGTTGTTTGTGAACACGCACCTAGCTGGCCATCATAGCTAAAACACAATTGTTATTCTCACGTTACGCTGTTTATTTCACATATTTATGTGATTTTTTAAAGACCTCTATGCCCATAAGAAATGTCGCTAATGCTTCACCACTCGGGGTGCCTCAGCAAATGCAGCTGGCTTCTGTGGATGTGTAACGCTATTGGAAAATGTTGAACGGCGCTCATTTCTAACCCTAACCCGGATTGCCTAGATTATATCACAGAACAGCCAGAATATCCCTTTTAGAGGCTGTGAATGCTGAAGACTTCATCACACACCCGTCAGCGAGGGCCCTAATGAAAGGTGATACTTAGATGAAGTCATAAGTGCCGAATCAACAGTTGTGCTTTATTTAAATAGGGAAGGAAAAAAAAAACGTTTTACCTGACCCGAGCTAACCAGGGACTTTAACCGGAGGAAAACAGCAGGTTGATTTTTTCTCTGTTTCTGTCTGGTTTATGTGTCCACACAGGCCCGTTTCAGAAGTTCCTGCTGTTGTTGTTTACTGCTTTTGTTTTCTGCAGATTCAGGAGCTGGAAACAGAAAACGCTGAGCTGAAGAAACAGCTCCATGAGCTGGAGGAACAGCTGATGATCGCACACGTACCACCGGTATCACAAATGACCTCAAATCTACTTTTACCAACTCTCACTTCATTCTGTCCCTCCAGGATTTCTTTCTTACTTATTTACTTCTAATAAATTACTAGATTAGCAGGAATGGGTTGAATTTCCTTCCTGGAGGAACCGTCTTCCATAAAACTTCTCAGTTCCAAACTTTCCAGAGTAAGTGGATGCAAATAAACGGACTGCACCAACCGCTCCACGACCTCCATCAGATTTTTAATTAGAAACTAGACGTTGGCATTTTATTGAGGGACGGCTGGCTCTGCTGATACCACCTCTGTTATTTGGGTTCAGAACCAGCCGTCCTATCAGCAGACGGCCAGCGGGCCTCTGAAGCAAAGCAATTACACACCTGATTGGTCCGATGAGGCGTGCGATACACCTGGGGTCTAATCGTGACGCTGACGGCCTGATGAGATTGTAATGACTAACGCTGTCCTCGCTCTGCTCACTCTGTGTCCGCCATCTTTCCTCAGCCGTTGCACATAGACGCGTCCGACGAGGCGTTCATGCTGCAGAGGCCCTCCTCTCTCTTCTGGTGTCACAGCATCAGGTCTCTCTCCTGTCTGGAGATCTCTTCTGTCACTCTGACTCCCATGAGCTCGCCAGAGTCCAACCTGTCCAACGGGTTACTAACTCCTCCTCCTGCCAAACCCGCTGTCCCTCCTCCCAGAGCGACCGAGGGGTTCAGCATCCCACGGCCTCGTGTAAACACCTTTTCTGTTTTCTCTTCCTCTAACACCGTATTTTCCTCTTTCCTGCATCCTGCCCTGCCGAGCAGACGCCACCGCTCGGTGCTTTATCTGTTTGTGTTTGTGTCCAGGCGGGGAGCATCTCCATCAGACCTCAGTCCATGGACATGTTTGACATGGTCCCCTTCTCCCCGGCAACGCCGCTGGTCCCGACCAAGACCAGCAACGGATGCCCCCCTCCCCCACCCACCACCTTACCTCCAGATATAAGTGAGTCTGGATGATTTATTTACAAACCGGCTGTTTGCAGTGAAAGAGGTGTTTATCCTGAATCTGTGCATCTGCAGGGAAAGACCTGTTTGGTGCCGAGCCGTTTGATCCGTTCACCTGCGGAGCGGCGGACTTCCCTCCAGACATCCAGTCACAGCTGGATGAGATGCAGGTGAGTTCTGACCTGGAAACACGTTTCATTAATCACACTCATAGAAATTATATTTTTGATTAATCAAATTAATCTTAAAGGCCAAGTTCACTGATCGGTCACTCTGAGTTTAACAGGCAGGTTAAATGTGGAAAAAATATCCTTCCACCCTTTCTTCCTGCATTAGTTGCCGATAGAAAATAGACGGTGAATTAAGTCCGGTCTGCGTCACGCTGTCACTGAACTCACCCATCTGGACGCGTGACGGGGAAGGCTTTTGTTGCTTCAGGGAATGGCAGAGAATGTTTTGACTAGTAGAAGCTAACTGTTAGCATTAGCAACTTCGCCACACAGCAAAACTCCTACAGTCTTGTTATTTCTGGAGATAAAATAATAAATGTTGCAGATCAAATAGAGTCAGTGTGGTAGAGCTGCGTTGCTATTAGCCAATCAGAGGTGAGATGTCCAAATAAAAGGAAATAAGACTCCAAATCCTGTTGTCTGCTGCTCACCTCGGCGGTGGCTGACTTCTAGTTCCTGAAACAAGAGCGCCAGAGCTTTTTTTCAACTCACAATGCATTTGTTTACATTAGAGACCACCCCAAGTGTGTTGAAAAAATAACAAGTGAACTAGGTCTTAACCTAAAAACAAACAAATAAAAACCTTTTTGGGAGCTTAGGCTGACTTCTCCAGCAGGGGGCGACATTGTTTTCCTCCTGAAACTAACAGCTGGTTATTTCTCCTCTCTTTCTCCTCTCAGCGTCAGAGATGGTTTGTACTCTTTGCTCTTTTGTTTTGTTTCCTGCATGCTTTCAGGTTTACTCCCATGTTCACACGTTGGATTTTTTGCACTAAAATCTTTGTTTTGTTGATGATTAGATATTAAAAGGCATTTTTTTATTTTACTTCCTGTTTTAGGATGAAGAAAAAATGCTAGTTGTTTTCATTTGACATGTTTTTATTCTTATTTTTTTTAAGTTGGAGATTCAAAGAGAAATCCTCCTGACATCAGAGCAAAGCTCGCTCAAAAGCAACCTCTCAAAATAACTCAGACGGTGCTTGAAATCATTGAAAATGCTTGAATTACCTAGCCTAGTGAACTAGACCAAATTCTTGCTTTGCAAAGAATGGTCTAGGCATGCTCCATTGGAACCTCAGCAGCTCCTACCAGGACTCTGGCTAGCCAATCACAGCTCTCTAGAGGGGTTTCAAACACATAAATGTGATTGGTCCATAATGGTGGGCCAATCATAGTGCTCTATCTGCTTAGTGAACAAATCACAGAGCTTTATCTGCCTTGTGGGCCAATCAGGGCACTCTATATGCCTGATGGGTAGGATGATGCAACAGAGTGAAACAAGAGTATGTCACATTCTTTGTCCAGTGGAATGTGGAGATCATTTGAAAGACAACGGTAGAACCCGCCCCACAACCGAGAGCCGTCAATGGAGCATGGCCAGACTAAATAATACATTTATTTAGTCTGGCTTGCCAGGCTATGAATTACCTTGAACTAAGTAGATATTTTAAGATCTGCATTGTTTTGGAATGATCAGCCTACTGATTCAGGCACTTTGCTGAGTTGTTGTGTAACCACGACAACCACATCCTAATGTGGGAGATGCAAACGCCCTGGTGTCAGTCTACACATCAAGACGTGCAGTTTTGTATTTGTTTTGCTGCTAATTTGATGCTTAAAACCCACTCAAAAAGTTTGTTTGTTAGTTAATTAGTTAGTTTGTATTTATTTGGGGGGGGGGGGGGAGGGGGGGTGATGCCCTATGAGAATTTTCAGTGGGGTGGGGGGGCATCAACTCAAATTTGACAAAAAAGCCACAATTTTTTTTCTGCAGATGAAAGATTTTTATAAAAATCTGCCAGTTTTTCATACTAGAGATATAAAACAGTTTACTCGAATCAGATCTGCATAAGGAACGTCATTAAGCCACAAAGGCAAGGTTCCATTTCAGACGTTGAGATAGGAACGCTGTCCGTACTGTTCTGTTTGCATCCAAACGAAAATCCTGCAAAGTTTTCGTCCTCGAGTTTCTCTCTGATTCTCCAAACTGAGCTCTTTGTGTCTGCTGCGGGTTTTATTTGTCTCTGACTGGATTCAGCCTCGTGGATGTGTGACGGTTGTGATGCATGACTCAACCTGCTCATGAGTGACCTCAGAGGCTTACAGGCGAGCTCTGAACACGCCAGCAGTTTCTGACCTGCAGTCTTTCCTCTGATTTCGTCTCACAGGAGGGGTTCAAAATGGGACTAACCTTGGAGGGGACCATCTTCTCTCTGGACCCGCTGGACAGCCGCTGCTGATGCCGAGGACAGTCCTCTGTGAGGCGGACTTTGGACTCGTTTGTATAAAGAAGTGCCGAAAGCCACTCTGTGGTTGGGTCGGGGGTGTCACACTCGTCATCTTCAGGTTTATAAGCATTTGCATTGAGATTGGTTTTCAATACTTCAAGGTCAACTCAGATCTGTTATAGAAAAGAGCTATTTTTGTACACAAGAGAAACACTTATGGAAGGAGCAGTTTTGAGTACTTTTGCTTGCACAGGCGAGATGTAAATAGAATCCATCCAGCGGTACGCTCTCGGCCGAACTTTCCTACTTGTGTGGATTTTATTCTGAATTACCGGCACATTCCTGTTTTTATGGAGAAGAAACGGCGAGGAGAAAACTGAAGAAATCTGTGACTTTAACCTTCATCTATCATTTAACATCTGGTTTATTTCATATTTAGACACATTATGTACTTTAATAATCCACTCTGGTGTTATTTTTAACTTTTACATTGTTTATTTGAATTTTTTAAGTTCTTTTGAAATAATGTTTGGTTTCTAACTTTGTCATTTAATTGTTTTTCCCTGTTTGGTCATAAAATGAATTAAAGGTTGCCATTATTTTACTTTTGTTTTCAGTAACATTGCAGTTATTAAAGAGTCTCCAACTGGGGGATCTGATATTACCCACCTGACAACCTGTTGATTACTGTTTTTATTTCAGTTACTTGAATATTCTATTTCATCAATGGCATTTACAACATTGCTGCACATTGATGAGATTTTTGGGTCAAAATGTTAAGCTCCTTCCACAAAAAGGCGCTCTGAAAATGTTTTGGTTTATATATCGTATCTTCCTCCACATTAGTCTGACAAACACAACAGCCCCATTCTGTGTCTGTCATCCAAACAGACGCACCCAAAAAGAAACATTTTAAAGTGATACTGAGCAGTTTTGCTTGCTTTTAGCAGTCCTTAATGTCTGCAATTAATTCTCTCCAGTCAAACTGAAAATTAAAGGTATCTCCTTGCTGCGTGTTTTTAACACCTTAATCTAACAGCTGAAATGTCTCCCAGCCTTCATTAGTGTCTACAGGAGTGATTCATCACTAAATTAAACAAATCAGATGTGTTCCAGATCTAAAACATGCAGGAAACGTGCTGAAACTGCAGAGTAACATAAACCAATTTGTTTCTATGTCCAACAGGTGACAGCCCCTCACTGAAGTTTCATATTATTTAAATTAGTGATTGTAGTATAGAGATTATTAACAGCAAATAGGTAGAAGTATTCAGAGTCTATTCACATAAGTTATAAATGAGCTAATTCATGTTACTTGTTTGTTGGAGCCAATTCTATCCCTGACCACCAAGAGGCACTGCAGGCAACATACTCAGTTATTAGTACAGGTGTGCTGCGCTGCTAGTTTTTGAATGTTGGGTTTTCAGACTGTTAAAGTCCAGTGAGTATAATAATGACCTGTTAGAAATTCCTAAAGAACATTCATGAACGTAAAAATGACAGAAATTATGAAAAACCACATGAAACAACCAGGTGAGTACCTGCCTTTGACACAATGCCGTGTCAAAAATGAACGTGAACTAGATAGTGGTGTGAATTTAGTTCATGTTTTAAACAGTGAACTGTGAACATGAACTCATTCAGTTTGTGAGCTGACCTGAGTTTGTTTTAATCGTTTAATCAATAAAAGCTTATTTGTAGCTGGTTTGAAATCTAACCAGTCCAGCAAATAAAAGACGTCATGATTAATCCAATAAAATCTAATAAAAGATTACACCAGTCTGAGCTAAAACTAAAGGGAAATTTAAATAAAAAAAATTAAAAAGCAAAACTGTTCAAAAGTGTGATATTTCCTTGTACTTAAGAATAGTTGCTAAATAATGGAGAAAGCCACAAGCCCCTGCTTTTATTCACTAGGGCCAGTGGAGACCAGAATATTTTGTAACAATGGCGCAAAATATTTTTATACATTTTTTTTATTATTATTTCTATATTTAGTAGTTTTTTGTTATGATGTAAAATATTTTAAAAACACAAAGTAGTTTATGTGCAGTTAGGTTTACAAAAAGCAAAGCATACATTTCAGGCACATTCATTAAAATAACTTTTTCTGACCACAATAAACTGATTTTGTGGGATTTTCGGCTTCTGTCGTGTAGTGTTCTTCACTGTACTACCGCTAGATGGCGGTAACGCACCTCACACAGCTTTTGTAGCTGCTAATAAAACCGTAGAAGAAGAGTCTGTTGTCGTTGACATATCAACATCCGGTCCGCGAAAGGACGTTTCTGATCCTTCTGGGACGTTTTAAACGCGGATAAGCTTGCGGAATATTGTGAAAATGGATCCATCTGAAGAGCTAAGCGACTTCGACAAAGGCCAGGTGGTCGTGGCCCGGCAGCTGGGCGTCAGCGTGTCGAAGACGGCGAAGATGGTGGGCTGCTCCAAGGCGGCCGTAGTGAGCGCCTACCGGCAGTGGTACGAGGAGGGACTTAGGCTCCGAGCAGGTAGACCCAGACTCATCGATCCCAGAAAGCTTGAGGACGAGTCCGAGTCTGGGAGCGAGGAGGCGGACGAGGAGGCAGGAGGAGGAGCTGCAGCGGAGGAAGGACCTTCTCCTTCACCTGAAGGCAGTGATGGGAGAGATGAGCCAGGGGAGGGAGAGTCCTCCACCTGAGAGAGACACAGCACCACACCTGGAACATCTGGTGGATTTTAGACTGAAAGCTACTCATTTATTGTATTATTAGTTCTTTTTCTAATTAAAATGTAAATCCAACTGTTGGTTTTTGTTTGGTTTTCATCCATTTGTTTCAACATTTGCTGCTGCAGGTGCTCTCTGAGCCTGTACCACCTGACTACTTTAACCTGCTAATGTTAAATTTAACTTGTGATTTAGACAAGCCAAGGACTTGAATGAACTGAGATGAGTTAAGAACATTTCTGATTAACAGCTTTTTTTAATTCGAATCCGACAGCTCGGTGCGGAGTCGTGCACGTGTGCTGTCAGAGACATTTTCCTTTCAGACTTCTCTGTTGGCTGGGGAGTGGTGCTTATTCAGTATCTTGTTCTCTATCTGAATGAGCAGGCTAAAATGTTCTTAAGATTCTGCTTTTAAAACAGCATTTAACTGTTTTCTCACAATCCTAAATCTGGAAAAAAGTGTTTACTACATTTCATTATTTAGAACATTTAAAACAGTTTTCTTTGCTTTTAAAAGGAATTGACTCATTTAAAAAAATTGGGGGGAAAGCATCAACATAAATATACAATACTTTTACAATATGGCAACATGCACTTTCTCCACTAGAGAGCAGTATAAGTTTAAAAAAAGATTTCATGGTAGAAAAAGTTGGTGAATTGTTTAATCTCTAACTTTTAAATCAAATGCGTCACATTTATTTACAGCAAATATTTAAGACTTACAGATTTTGATTACAGATCTTCTAAAAGACATTTATTTTACATTTTGTTTTTGATGGGGGTGGAAGTTGTACTTTTCAATACAATGATTTACATTTTCTGTTCAATTTACTGATCGTCAATAAAAAGCACAAGAAAAAGAATAAGAAGTTTGCTTTTCAGTTGGCATCATGGCAGAGGCTGGAAGTAAAAGTAAGAGCAATGTTTTTGGAGGTGAGGCAAAAAGTTAAAGCCAGAGTAAACATTTATGTGGCCTACACTAGTTTGAGGAAGCTGAAAGAGGCTATGAAGTCATGGACTGATGATGACCTGCTTTTGTTGCTACTGGACATGTAAGTAATTTATTTTTCTTTCGTCTTACTGGATCCTTTTGATTTGTGGTTTATTGTAATATTAGTTGGCTCATGTCAGTGTTAGCTCATTGGTAGCACTAGCTACAGTAGGCTGCAGCAGGGTTTTTTTACAACAGTTGTAATTCCACTTTCAACCAGTAGGTTGGAGGAGCAGGAAGCTGCTCTGTGTTACTTTAAAGATGTTTCCCTGCAGCTTCACAGCTGCTCTTAAATTATAGCATAATGAAGATTTTTAGGCCTCTAATTATAATTATTACTTGCAGACTCACGGATGTCAGAGCTTCTCAGCTTATAGCAGCCAGTCACAGGATTGGTTGGCGTGGACGGCTTCAGATGGTTTTTCTAAAGTGACAGAGCCCTGAAACGGCAAATTCTGGAAGGTACTTAAAATATCAAGAATCAAACTGCTGAAATCACTTTATAAGAGAGGGACTTTATGCGAAGAACTTAAACATGTTTTGTATTGACTGTTTTAGTGATATAACTTCATAAAGCCATTTTTAGTTTCTACAACAGCTTAAACGCTGTTCTGGATGCCTTTACCCTCGCAAGGATAATCACCAGTTTATTATGACTGCATTTAATCTTCTTTTTGCATGCAGATTTGATTTTTGAATCACACACAGGACATATTTGCATATTTAAACAGGTGTGTGTGTGTGTGTGTGTGTGTGTGTGCGCGCGTGCGTGTGTGTGCATGTGTGTGTGTATCTGGTATTCCCTCCTGATTCATGCATGCATGGACACAAATTAATGCATCTGGACTTATTTGCACATTACATTTGAAATGATTAAATATTGGGTGCAGACCACCAGGGTTGTAATACTACAAATACCAGAATGCAACAGGGAGCAGGCTTTATTGTCACCAGTCAAACCACGAGGCCTCTCTTGTAGCGATCATAGTCTTCTGTGACTTTTAAACACCAAAATCACCATTTTTATTTCCTCCACTGAATTTCCTCAGGACAAAACTGTGGAGCAGACGAAGCTGAAGGGGGTTAAACTCAGGAAGCGCAGCTACAAACCAGCTGCTCCTAAAATAATTCTATTAGCTTCCTCCACATACAGCAGATATTCTCACAGCTTATGCTGGGGGATGAGCAGCCGTTTGATCAGAAAGAACCTACATCACACAGAATCAGGGATGAAGAGCTTCAGAATCATGGATGATGAAAACAAAAAAGAATCCGTTCAACCAGAACCAGTTCAGTCTAAGCTGGAACACAGACTTGAGTTTATTTTTCCTCCCCAGATGTGAAACATCTCAAAGTATCTCCAACAGTTGAAATTTGAAACGAACATGGAGAAAATTTCTGAAGCTGAAATCAAATCTGCAGTCGTGTGTAAGAAAGAAGCTTCAGAAGGCAACAGCTGAGTTTTAAAACTTCAACTTAAAACATAAACTGCATCTAATGAAAGAGTGAAACTGAGTGATGCTAAATATAGTCATTAAAGGCCCAAAATCTAGACGGCGCGTGTTTGGAGAAACAGCGATTGTCTCCAAACAGCAAACAGGCATGTTTAGGTGTTTGTAGAAGGCTGAAGAATAAATGTTTAAAAATTCCAACAGACTCTTAAACATAGGGGGATTCCTGATTAGATTTAAGGAGAAGTTGTACATTTCACTGTATGTATTTACCTCAATGTCCTCCCAAATTTAGCCTGACTTATGACGGAGGACTCGTGAAATGAGATGTCGAGATTAAACTCAATCTTGAAATAAAAAAAAGTTTTTGGGGTGGGGGATGGATCGTCAGTCTATTTCATGAACAGTAGAAATAAAACCTGGTTGTGCTTCCAAAGCCAACTACGTTTATTGTTTGTTATTTTATTTTAGGGATTTTTGTGATTTAAATGTAAAAATACAACATTTTATTAGGGGGTTAATCTAGTTAA